AAGTCTGTTGCTCAGAGTTCTGGAAGTTGGCTGTCCAGGATTAAGGCACAGGTGTATTTGGTGCTAGATGAGGATCATACACATGGCTGCCATAGACATAGCTTCAGACATCGCTATCTTCTCACCGTGACTCCACAAGGCAGATGGGAAGGGCTCTCAGACCCCTCTTATAAAGGCATAAGTCACATCTGGCTTTTCAGGAGGCAAATGCTCAGGCTAGAGTAGCTTTCTACTGGTGTTGCCTCTTCATTATTTACATCTAATTTAACTTTACATTAGAAGGCCCGCCTAGACCTGAACTGGTACTGCCCCTAATAGTTCACAAGTACTTGTTACTGTTCCCACAACGTCCTCTTGCATTTTTGTTGCTAATAATCTTAGCAATTGGTTTGTGCCTCCCTGGCAAGTAAGGCTACAACGCTCCTGTTTCCTAAGAATCATTAACAGTAATCAGTGTATGGATGAGCGAATACTTGGTGATCATAGGGAAAAGATAAAGATATAAAGTTTGTTAAAGAAAAATTAAGGATAGAAAGGAAATACAATGGAAATCTGATTGGGTCATTTGGTCCCAGACAAGTGATTGGCACATCTCTGGAGAAAACCAGAGCAACTTGTTCTTCTGAGCAACAATCAAAGAATCATAATAGAACTATCCAGAAAGGAAGAAATGTTTAAAACCACACAGAAGTACTACTGGTCAAACTATGCAAATTCTTGCATTTAAAAAAAAATCTTATAGAATGATCATGGATTAAAAAAACAACATTAAAATCTACTTTATAATAATTTAGTGCATGTTTGTGTGTATGTGAGTGTGGATGGGTGAGTGGACGGTTTTGTGTGTGTGTGTACACATGTGTTTATGGGTAGATGCACCTGTGTGCACAAATGTGGAGACTAGACATTGGTTTCTTCATCACTATCCACCTTATTTTTTAAGACAAAGACTCTCAATGATGCAGGTGCTCACTCATTGGCTAGCTGGGCCAGTCAGTGAGCTCTTGGACCAAGCTGTCTGTGCCCCTCCCCAGCACTGGGGTTACAAGTGCATGCCACCACATTTCACTTGGGTTCTGGAGATCCAAACTCCCTTCCTCATTCTTGTGTAGCAAAGGCTTTATCCACTGAACTAATTTTCTGATATTTTTTGAGAAAAAATTACCCATATATTTCCTGATTATGTCATATCAACTTTACAAATTATGTCATATTATCTCACATATTATATATAATACAAACAGCTCTGTAAAATCCACACATAAATAGACATTAATATGTATCTTTCAGTAAAGATTCCTTGTCGTATTTAGAATGAGGAGTTTGTTTAGCTGACTCTTTTAAGGCTTCCTTTGGATTGAAAAAGCTGGGGGTGACTGTGGACCAGTGTTAGAACTGCTGTGCCTTGATAAGGCACACTATCACTAATCCCATGCAGATGTTTACTGCTGTATTGAATGTTTTCCTGTCCCATATGCCTTCCTGAATCACAGCAGTGACCAAGCTTGACCTCTATAATCCAAAACCACTTGCTTAGTCACTGGTAGACAGGAGTGTTCACTATGCCCACTCCTAGACTAGAACTCATACATCAACACCCCTTATAACCTACACTTTCACGAATGCTGTGTTTCAAATGGCCTCTTGTATTAAAGGTTTTCTTTTGTTCAGCTGGCAGTAGTGAGCTGTCCCCACTTCAAACTAAGAAGGCAGACACAGACACTTCTTATAACCATCACTTGAAAAAAACGCCCTTTTCCAGTGTTGTTGGCTCCTGTTGAAATATAGTTTTCTTTTGTGTTTTTGATATTTTTATATGAATATCTTCCTGCTTGTGAAACCTGTATTCTCTTACTGTATTGGGATCAGTCAGCAATTCCTCACTTAGGCGCTTCTAAATCTCTGTCAGATAACTGGCGTGGCTTTCTCTTTCATGCTGATATTCCTGGGTTGCACCCTACCACAGTAGCTTCCTTAATGGGTTAAAAGTGTGTCCTCTAGATGGGACATATTGTGATAACTCGAATTTTACCTCTTCCAAGTCTCAAAGAGTATGTTTGACATTGCACAATTTTTTTTTAAGGGAATTTCTTGGTTACTTACAGGTCTACTCCTGTATATTTTTTATTCATATTTGGTAACAACTGTATTCCTATCATTTTCTCTGTGATTGCATAATTATGTTCTATGTTGTTTTCATTGATCTTTGAGTCTGTCGAGATAACCCTTCTTAATTGCTACATCTGTGGCTTTCTTGTCTTTTTCCAATTAAAATCCCACTCGTCAAACCATGTTCTAAATATTTAAACAACTGGGACCTTGACTCATCTCTGTCATTGTGGTATGTGTAGTCTCACTGAGTGGCTTCTGCTTGCATATGGGCATCGCTGTGTCCCATTTCTCTTTGTTCTCAAGAGCTACTGTTGCTTGTCTAAAGTCTCACATTCCAGTCACTCTCTTCCTCGTGTGAAACAGGAAAAGATAAAACCGTGAGTTTATCAATGAATACAACTTTAGCCAAATTTCATACATGCCATTAAGACTTTTGTTTTCTGACCTATACCAATGGTCACCTCTAACTTTTAAACCAAAAAAAGTTACAGATCTTTCTTTTTCTTAGTAGTCCTGTTGCATTTTATATAATCTCTCGCTATATGCATTTTGGGTGAGAGAACAGAGCTCTATAATTTATGCTTTTGAAATGTATTGAGGTTTATCTTTGTGGCCTAACACCAGCCACATCTGTCAGTCTTTCCCAGACGTTTGTTTGTTTTTTTGTTTGTTTGTTTTTAAAAGATGTATTTATGTATTATGTATACAGTGTTCTGCCTGCATGTATGCCTGCAAGCCAGAAGAGGACACCAGATCTCATTACAGATGGTTGTGAGCCACCATGTGGGTGCTGGGAATTGAACTCAGGACCTCTGCAAGAGCAGCCAGTGCTCTTAACCTCTGAGACATCTCTCCAGCCCATTCCCCAGATATTTGAAGAAACGATTTTCTCTTTTTAGGCTACAAAGTTGATTCTTAGCTGTCAAGACTGTTTTTGGTTATGCATAAAATATTCTGTTTCCATGTTTTTTTGTTTCTGTTTTTGTCTTTACTCACTCTACAAAGAAGGTTTCAAGGTATTCATAATAAGGTTGTTTAACTATGTCCACCGTGGACTTGCAAGCTGCATGCAGAGCAACACAGGTGTAGCATCTGCTGGTTTCCAGCACAAATGCAGATTTGACTTGTTTTTTGTTTTTTTTTCATCCCATTGGCATTTTTACATGGGAGTTTGATGAGAATTCAAGTTTTAGACGAATTGACTTCTGCTCCTTTATGTTCCAGTCGTTTCATTTTTCATCTTTTCCCATTACTTTTTATTATTTGTAAATCCACTATACCTCTCTCTCTCTCTCTCTCTCTCTCTCTCTCTCTCTCTCTCTCTCTCTCTCTCTCTCACACACACACACACACACACACACACCACAAAGACACAAGCTCAGCTCAGATGTTCCCACCTTCAGTCTCATTATGTGAAAATATTTTTAGTGCATAATTTAGTGCATATTTTGAGTGCTGTCAATCACAGATAGGACATAAGGAACCTAAGCCTGGGATTTGTATTTCTTTCAGAAAAGCATATTTCTCCCCTGAGTGTCCTCTTCCTTGCAAATGGACCTTATTGGAATCTTAATACTGGACTTTATAGACAGATAACCAAGGAGATCCTGATACATCATCATATTCTTAATGCTGTGGTAGTGAGTGCATCAGCTCAAAAATGATTCTTAAAGTTTCCAAAATAAGCAAAACGAACGATTGTTCCCTTGCAGCATTCCCACCAATCACGTCCTCCAAGCCAAGTGTGGACATTCCAAACCTGCCTTCCTCCACCTCGTCCTTCGCCGTCTCTCCCGCATACTCCATGACGGTCATCATCTCCATCATGTCCAGCTTTGCCCTCTTTGCTCTTCTTACCATCATGACTCTTTACTGCTGCCGAAGAAGGAAAGAGTGGAAAAATAAGAAAAGGTGAGATTCGAGTTGAAGTCCATCACGTAAAGTCATGCCTTGAAACCACACACTCAACTCTGGAATTGGGGGTTAGAAGAGGAGTGTCTGCCACACCACCCTTGCCTTCCTAACATCCATGCCCTGGCTTTAAAATTAGACACCCCTACCTTGAGCTTTAAAAAGGTCCCATGTACCAAAGTCAGTTTTAACAACAGAAAGAACTTAATCATTCGGGTGAAAATGGCTACTCCTGTATCCTGCCTTCTCCCACTGCTGCTGCTGATATAGAAGGTGACAAAAGGTGCCTCTTGACTGGAGACCAAGCCACGTACTTCATTGTTCTCAAGCCCAAGAGTCCTCAGCTAACTCAGTATTATATACTCTATGTATTTCTAACTGTCTTGAAGGATCTAGGTCAAAGGCCATTGTTAATCCCACCTCTCTCACCTGCAGAGAGTCAACAGCGGTGACCCTCACTACACTGCCTTCCGAGCTCTTACTGGACAGACTCCATCCCAACCCCATGTACCAGAGGATGCCGCTCCTTCTGAATCCCAAGTTGCTCAGCCTGGAGTATCCCAGGAATAACATTGAGTATGTCAGAGACATCGGAGAGGGAGCATTTGGAAGGGTCTTTCAAGCAAGGTAAAATCAACCATGAGGGGAAGGGAGGAGTCTCTGCTGAAAAATTACAGGATCATTAGACTGATCTACTCTGTCTAAAATTGTTATCAAGTTACTTAATTATCTATATCATTTGTTTGTATTGAATGCTGTTTTTGAAGGTTTTTTAATTTTTTAATTTACATGGGTTGGTGTTTTGCCTGCATGTATGTATGTGCATCATGTGGGTGCAGTGCCCTCAGAGACCAGAGGAGGACGTTGGATGCCCTGGAACTGGAGTTACAGATGGGTGTGAGCCACTGTGTGGGTCCTCAAAGCAGTCAGTGCTCTGAGCCATCTCTACTCCCACATGCTTTATTGTGACTCTTACTATCCCTCCCAGTCTTTACTAGGAAATAGTATACCTAGAAAGAATGTAGTTTGCTGCATTTAAATTAGTAATTTATAGGAAATTTAATATATATTTATATAAATTTAAAATCAATAAGCAGTTTGCAAGAAGTTGCTAGTAATTCAATCATATTTCCTTTCTAGAAAATTATTTCCTATACATTTTAGCCATAATTTCCTCCATTGTTTTGGTAATAATCCCTATTTACTTCCTTTTCTTCTTTCTACTGTCATTCTCTGCTTCATTTAAAGTTCCCTTTGAATTAGTGTTTCAAAACTCAGAATCTGACTTCTGTAGACGTTAAATAGACATTCAGAGAGTAACAAAACAGAAAGGGGAAATGTAAATATTCAAAAATCAGTGAGTTCAGGAAAGGGTTGTATATTACAGTCAATCATAGCCCATTTCTTGACTTGGTGTGAAATGGAATAAAATACCCACGCTGTGTGGACGCAGCTCCACAGACACAAAGCTGGGCAACAGGATATGGAGTTGGATTTAGTCACCAGTTGTCAGTCTTGTCCTTAAGCAGGCATAGCCCTGCTTCCATTTAAAGTAGTTTTGATATCGAGGTTTCATTTAAAGTGAAAAGTCTTACAAACTTACGGTGAGATTTGGCAAGAAGCAACTTTAGACTGCATGGGGAACATAAAAGCAGTCAGCCGTGACTCCACCCTCAAAGAATTTAGATTCGGGCTAATCAGTAGGGGATCACATAGGACATGTTAAGTCTCTCTCTCTCTCTCTCTCTCTGTGTGTGTGTGTGTGTGTGTGTGTGTGTGTGTGTGTATGTGTCCTCTAGTTGTTAAATAATACATTTAACATGTATGTTAAATTTTATATATTAACATAATTTATTTAAATAATCTATGTTGAAAATAACTAATGAATTTCCTAGTTGGCATAACGAAGTTTAAGCCTGACTTACTTTCATCTTCCTTCGGTTTGGGCTCCAGAAAAGGCTGCGTAAGCATGGTGGTGGGCTCTATAAATCTGAGTAAATATAACCATGGGGATAAACATCCCTGCCTTGGGTTTATCTCTCAGGGCTCCTGGCTTACTGCCTTACGAACCTTTCACTATGGTGGCCGTGAAGATGCTTAAGGAGGAGGCCTCCGCGGACATGCAAGCAGACTTTCAGAGGGAGGCAGCCCTCATGGCCGAGTTTGACAACCCCAACATCGTGAAGCTCTTAGGTATGAAAATATGACTGAAGGAAAACTGTTCCTCAGCAAGGAGGCTTTCTGAGCTTTCCTTCCTTGGTATCTCACTTATTTAGTCTGCTGTCTTTCTCGCCGATCAGTGGGACATGGCTCTCTCCTCCTTCCCTAGTTCAGCCTCTTCCCCTCCTTCCTGATGTTCCTTCTACCCCAGCTCTCAGGACGCTGTGCCTCACAGATACCTTTAACCCCATCACTTCCCACTGTCTCATCCCTGCTGTCTCTTCTCTGGTTAGAAAGTTTTCAAGTGTCTCCACATGAGATAAATTCCCTTGACACTAATTCACCATCACAGAATTTATTAAGGCCGAAAAGTATGTATAGCTCTTTTGCACATTTCATTTTTTCCTTAAACTAGAATATCATGATTTAAATCATATTTTGTTCATTTTTGTGTCCCCATTTCATCATAAATTTAACAAGTATTCGCTGAATAGTTTAAATAGTTACTTAGAAAGAAATAAACCTTTAACATTATCTGGCCTTGTTCAGCTTACATTCTTTTTGGGAGACAGCAGAAGTAAACATGTGTAAATGTGGCTTATATGCTTCTGATTTGTTTTAAAACTCCAAGTAAAGGGAGACTTTTTGGAACATGAGCTACTATCTTTGAAGACATCAGTGTGCAGGTGATATTTGTGTACGGACTTGGCCGAGGTAAGAGAATGGCAGTGTGGATAGATTGGAGAATGAGCCGCTCCTGCACGGGTCTCATGGCGAGCTTGGCTAGTGCTTAAAGAACACCAGACAGGGCTGGGAAGAGGGTGTGCTGTAAATAGTGTCCACTGTGCCAACATGAAGGCCTGCGTTTGGATTCCCTGAACCCACAGAAAGGCTGGGTATGGTGACACATGCCTGTGAATCCCAATACTGGGGAAGTAGAGAGGGGAGGATCCCTGGGACTTGAAGGCAGCCCACCTAGAGGGATTGGCAGGTGTAGTGATATATTGTGTACCCTAATAAACTTGCCTGGGGATCAGAGGACAGAGCCAGCCACTAGATTAGACATAGAGGCCAGGCAGTGGTGGCACACACCCTTAATTCTACCACTCCGGAGACAGAGAGCCATCTGGACCTCTGTGAGTTCAAGGCCACACTGGAAACAGAGCCAAGCAGTGGTGGCACACACCTTTAATCTCAGTACTGGGAAGCACACATGCCTTTAATTCCAGAAAGTGACATGGCTGGGCAGGGAAAGGTATATACGGTGTGAGGAAGCAGAAACTAAGGCAATTCAGCTGAGACCCTTTTGGATGAGGACTCAGAGACTTTCAGTCTGAGGAAACAGCATTGGCTGAGGAGTTGATGAGGTGAGGTTGGCTGTGGCTTGTTCTGTTTCTCTGATTTTTCAGCTTTCACCCCAGTATCTGGCTCTGGTTTTTTATATTAAAAGACCACCTAAGATTCGAGCAACAGGCAAGCTCCAGGATCAGTGAGAGACTCTGTCTCAGGAAAATAAGGTCGGCAGCAATTAAGGAAGACACTTGACATTGGTGTCTATATGCCATACACATCCATGTGCACACATCCTACCCACATGTACCCTTACACACAAACAGAAACATGTGTACATACACACAGAGAGAGAATAGAGAATAATAAGGTGATGGGGAGGGTTTGAGAGAGTTGTGTAAGACTAGATCCCATAGTAAATGCAGTGGGGTAGTTGGAAGATCCTGCAAGACCTTCACACAAAGAACTAAAGAATACTGAGACTGGGAGAAATAGTCTTCCTCAGGAAAGTGCTCACCAACTCTTATCTAATACCAGATGTTCGTCCCTGACAATATACATACAAGTAACATTATACAGATAAGACTGACCAGGTTGTATTTAGGAAAATATATATATATTTTCATATGCATGTAATAACAATTAATGAAAAGAGGCCATAAATTTGAAATGAATATATTTGAAAGTAAGGAGAGGGAAATGATGTAATTACAGTATGATCTCAAAAATTAAAGAAAAACCCCTGACTTATACTGTAAGTAAAATGGGAATCAAATGGAAAGTCTGAGCCGAGCAGTGCCAAGCCATGGCATGACGTGATTCACATTTTCCCCCAGAAGGCCTCTGTCTGGTTTGTTGAGTGGAATTGCAGGGGAGGCAGTGAAAACATGGAGACAGTGAATGGGGTCTTTCAGTATGCAAAAAAAGAAGATGTGGCACAGGTCAGGGAGATGTGGTGGGGTAATGAGAAGGTGTAGTCGGAGGGTTTCTCTGGTCCCACCAGGCCCCTATAGTCCCATGGCCCACTTATAAAATAATCACTCAGAAGCTTATATTAATTATAACTACTCTGCCATTAGCTCAGACTTATTACTGACTGTCTCTTACACTTAAATTAACCCACAATTCTTATTTATGTGTAGCCACATGGCTTGGTACCTTTTCTCAGTTCTGCCTTGTCATCTTGCTTCCTCTGTGTCTGGCTGGCGTCTCCTGACTCAGCCCTTCCTCTTCCAAGAATTCTCCTTGTCTGCTTATCCCACCTATACTTCCTGCCTGGCTACTGGCCAATCAGCATTTTATTTATCAACCAACCAGAGCAACACACATTCACAGCATACAGAATGACATTTCACAGCAAGAAGGGATGGGGGTCTGTGTGCAATTCGAAGGCAGAACCAAATAATTCCTAGAGAGCAAATGTGAATTGTGCAACAAGGAAGGGAGCCGAGGAGAAGGCCGCATGCTTTGTTTAGGTTTTGCTGAACTCTGGAGTGAGGATAGCAATGGGACATTCAAGGGTGGTGAGCCAGAACCATGCGGAAGAGCTGAGAATACATGCGGAAAGCCAGATCCCTCCTACTGCGTTGGTCTAAACTTCCTGCTCAACACTGATCAGGCTCAGAAAACATAGCAATAGAGCTATAGTGAGGTACTCAGAAGAGAAAGATGGCATTTTTTGCTTTTTAAATTTTGTATAACTTGAAAGCCTTTGACAATGATCCACAATGAGAACCGAACTGAGACACTTTTTTGTTGTTGTTGCAAACTAATTTGAACTATTCCTTAAAGTCTGGCTGTATTCATATGTGTGTCTGCAATTTTACAGCATTCTCTGTTCCTGGGGTTGATTCTGACTCAAGCCAGGTACAACACACTGACAATTGGTTACTGGGAAATGTGTTTCCTCATCACCAATAAGAGTTTCTTACCCAACAAGAACTAAGATTCATACTGCCTATAATAATTGGAGGTAGAAGAAGGATCAAGATTTCAAAGTCACAGTTGGCTCAAAGTGGATCTGAGGACAGCCACAAGACTATGTAACACACATGTACGCATGCTTGTGATGGCGCGCACACACACACACACACACACACACACACACTCAATTTTTTTCTTGAGAGGCATATGTTATCTTGAGCTTCCTAATGTAAGAATTCTTTCAAAACCAATTTAACTAGCATAACCCCAGTAAAGCCACCTGATGATACATATAAATGATTGTTGACAAGGACCCAAAGAAGATCGTGTAGGAGGGACAGTGAAATGTGACTGACATTTGATTTCCTCTTTAACGTATACACTGTCAGCTAAAATCCTTTGAATTACAAAGTAACTAGAAAAGGTCCTATTCCTTATTTCTCTTCTTTCTCTCATACTGAAACTTCTACTCTTTCCCTGAAAAACATAACAAATCTGACAATCTGTTTTTGTTGTGATGTGAAATTATGCCCATCAGATTTAATGGTACAAGCTCAGACATTTATTTCTCATGTATAGTAAGATGTTAAGGGTTTTCCAATGTCTTCCTGACACCATGTGTAAAACTCTGTGTGTGAACATTACTTTCTTTATAGACTGCACATCAAATGATAAGAATTTCAAACTCCTTTACTACAGCCACCGAAGGAGTTCCTCCTAGAATTTTGGATTATTTTCATGTTCTTCCTAAATGTGATAGATGTTTCTTGTTCTCATTCTTCAGAGAACTAAACAGAATGGTTATATCACACATTCCCAGCAAACACCCATTCCTGAACCCACTTACTGTACGTTACCTTATACTGCTCTCCAGATACCTGGTCAGTCGGAGGGATTTAAAGAAACAGGACACAGTCTCTCCATTCCAAGAGATGAAATGTTTGGGAAACATCTCCAAAACAATGAATGTGTACGAATTAAGGTGGTAGGTACTATGCATGAAGATAACAGAGGGAAAATGTAAGAATCAAGGGGTCAGGAACTGAGACACCCTAGAAAGAGAAGAAATACATCAAAATTTACCAGGTAACAGGAGATGTTTAAGAAAAGAAGTGGGGGTCACACTGTGACTCCCGCTGTCTCTAAAAAGTGGGACCCCATCTTTTCTGGTCTGGTCCTTTGATTTTGGAGTACTCTTTCCTTGTGGAAAGACTCAGCCTAACAAAGATAATTATTTTGATTGCAGGTGTATGTGCAGTAGGAAAGCCCATGTGCCTGCTCTTTGAATACATGGCCTACGGTGACCTCAATGAGTTCCTCCGAAGCATGTCCCCTCACACCATGTGCAGCCTCAGCCACAGCGACCTGTCCACGAAGGCTCGGATGTCCAGTCCCGGTCCTCCACCCCTGTCCTGTGCGGAACAGCTCTGCATTGCCAGGCAAGTGGCAGCCGGCATGGCCTACCTGTCAGAGCGCAAGTTTGTCCACCGGGACTTAGCCACCAGGAACTGCCTGGTTGGGGAGAACATGGTGGTGAAAATTGCAGACTTTGGCCTCTCCAGGAACATCTACTCCGCAGATTACTACAAAGCTAATGAAAACGACGCCATCCCTATCCGTTGGATGCCACCCGAGTCCATCTTCTACAACCGCTACACCACGGAGTCGGATGTGTGGGCCTATGGTGTGGTCCTCTGGGAGATCTTCTCCTACGGCCTGCAGCCCTACTATGGCATGGCCCATGAGGAGGTCATTTACTATGTGAGAGATGGCAACATCCTCTCCTGCCCTGACAACTGCCCCTTGGAACTGTACAACCTCATGCGCCTGTGTTGGAGCAAGCTGCCATCCGACAGACCCAGCTTCTGCAGTATCCACCGGATCCTGCAGCGCATGTGCGAGAGAGCAGAGGGAACGGTGGGAGTCTAGAGTTGACTGTGCTCAAACAACACCCAGTAGGCTCTTTTCAGACTGTGAGCTGAAGGATTTCAGACCGTGAGCTGGAGGATTCCTACGGCAGAGGTCGGGTAGGAACGGACAGGAAAGAGTTTAATGTAGATATCACGAACCAGCTGCTTGTTTGCCACAAGAAACAGATCGTGAAAAACCCGCAGTGTAGAAGAGTCTCATTGAAATAGGAGGTTGGAGACACGAGCTAGGAGAAGAAGGATGATTGCAGGTAGCTCTTTTCTCTCGCAGGGCAGTTCCTAATACATATTGTATAATGAGATTGCCTCTGGTTCCGTTCCTGCATCACCCCCCAGAGGGAGACTGCTGTGCTCGGTTGAATCCAAAGCCGGATGTGCAGCTTCGTTTTTTTTTTTTTTTTTTTTTTTTTTTTTTTTTTAGCTTCATTTTTGATGGAAGACATCCTGTCCATTGCAAAAACAGCGTGTCTCTGTGTACCTTTAGGGGAGGACAGAAATCTAAAGACAAGAACCATTCTTTCATCACTCAAGACACATGATAGGTCCTTTCTGTGGCTTACTTTTTCTTGCCTTGAGTGTGCAGTCACATATTTGCATTCTAGAGTTGCCATCTATTTTACTGATGGGTGGAAAACCCGCAAGCTCCTTGCTGACTGCACTTCCCGGCTCCTTTTCTGCTGACCTCCACCAGAAGCCCTTCCTTGGTGTTCACTCATCACAGAGTTGATTCGCCTCATTCCTCCTGGTTTTCTAGAAAAAAAAAATCATAACTTACCAGTCTATCCTTTTTTGAGAACTATATTGGCACATTTTCCTTGAAATAACATAGACAGATGACATTTTTCATCTCTGTCAAGTATGATCCCCTTCTTTTCTATGTGCTCTTGAATTTGCCATACAGTAATTATGTTACCACCGGCCACTAAATATTGTAAAGCATGAGGCATTATATCAGACACCACGAGATGCTTTGTGGTTCCAAGCTATTTCACAAGGAATGTTGTGAAGTGTTTTTTGTGCATCCTGATGTATTATCTTTTAGAAGGTATTTTGATTGATTGGTTCTATGATTAGCAGAGCTTTGCTTCATAACTTCTGCACAGTGGATCAAACCATTTTGTTACTTACTATGATTTTTTTTAACTTCCTGGACTCGGGTCCTCCAGTGCCTAAGGTCTCTCAGTGGAGACCTACACAAGTACATAAGGACATGTGGAGGTGATTTGTCATCTGTGTGAGGTTTCAAAGCCTACACTACATGCCTTGCAATTGTTTTCCTATGTGTCTTCAATGACTAGAAAGAAAGCCTATTTTAGTATTATCAATTTAAATTGATCTAAACATCCAATAGGATGGCATGTTTGTCTCAGCATGAGTTTTAATTGCACTTTTGAGCTAAAACCACTAAGTTATTTCACTGGTAGCTGGTTAGAATGTGGTGTTGTGTAGGAACAGGGGTCCAGTACAGCAATTTAAAAAAAAGGGAGACATGCTACCAGCTGCAGGATGATATCAACAAGTCTATGTAAATGTCCAGGCACCAAACACAGCAAAAGTACCAGGTCATTTTGCACATGGTGCCAAAACATGTTTTCTGGAATTAGGATAGAGCAGAAAAAGAAAACTTTCCATCACTTCATAGTTTACTTTGAATCTATTACATGTCATTATTATTCTAAAAACTAATGTAATTTTTGAATAATATCAATTTTATGGGTATCTCATAAGTCAATCTTAGACTTTTGAACATGTGACATTCTCCTAATATTCATCATCACAAACAGTATTGTGATCACCTCCATTTTTACACATCCCTAAATATCTCTATGGAAAACACACGGCATGCACTATACTATAACTTTTGTTATGGGGCCTGAAGAGATGGCTCAGCAGTTAAGAGTGCATACTGCTCTCACAAGGACTGGAGTTCAGTTCTCAGCATCCACCTTGCAACCACCTGTAATTCCAGGTCCCAGGGGTTCCAAGGCCTCTGGCCTCTGAGGGCACCTGAACTCATGTGCACATACATACACACAGATACCCACAAAACACATAATAAAAATAATAATAAAAATAAAACTTTTATTGTGCATTGTTATGGTCTCTAGAAATGTTATTATAGCTGCATTGTACAAGGTAACTCATAACACTAAACACTTGCTATGATAGAAAATTAATACTCTTTTATCAATTTTGTGTGTGAGGGTGCATGAGAGTGTACACACGTGAGTGTGGGGGTGTACAATGTCACGGTCACATGGAGAGATCAGAGGACAACCTCTCTAGTGCTGGTCATCTTCTACCTTGTTTGAAATAAGTTCTCTTGCTGTTTGCCACTGGCCTGAGAGCTCCTGGGGATTCTCCTGTCTCCACCTCCATCTTGCTATAGAAGCGTGGAGGTTACAGCAGAGGTTCCTGCATCTGGATTGATGTGGGTTCTGGAGACCTGAACTCTGGTCCATCCTTGTGTGGCCAAGGAGTTTACCCAATCGATGCTCTCTTTTTAAATAAAAAAGAGAATGGCATTTGAATTTTAAACTCTGGGGAAATTGAACTGGTCATGGCAGAACAGCTTCAATCCTAGCACTTGGGAGCCTGAGTCATAAAGGTCACAAATTCCAGGCCAGCTTTGACTACATAGTAGCAAAATTCAGTCTCAAAAAGCATAAGTAAGAATTGAAATTTTCTTTTTTCTAATTACCTGCAGTCTAATTTTCTATTGTGTTCATTTTAGAATTGATATGTAAGGTTTATTTTATAAAAAGCATATTATGCTTCTATTATACTTTATATGAAGAGAAAATAGATGTATATTTTACCTAAAAGTAAATGTTCGTTTCTTATGAAAAGGAGAAAATAATAAGCAACATACATTAATAACATATACTTTACAATAATAATAAAAAACAATTGTAGTAATGAAGAAACAACAACTGTTGCTTATTAATTTTAATATCACAAGAATATTCTTCCATCATTTATCAATAAGTAGGTAGGGAGGTAGATGGCAGATATAAGATAGATAGATAGATAGATAGATAGATAGATAGATAGATAGATAGATAGGAGATAATTTAAAGTAAAACAGACAGACTGATACTGCTACACAGATAAGAGCTCTGTTCTTATCATCTAATATGTTCTAACATATTCTGTACCAAAAAATATTCATGTACAGCATCACTTGTAATGATTGCATATATGAATTTATTATAGTTTTTATAATGTAGTAGTTCATTGTTGGAATTAGGCTTATATCTATTTTTCATAATAAAATATAATCTTTCATAATCTTTGTTCCTGGATATTGTGAACATTTTTCTTAAGTAATTTCTTTAGATACCAATCTTGGAAGTGGAATTTATAGATTAAAGGGCACTTGTACTTTTAGTGCATTTGAACATATTGACAAGTACATTTCTTTATTAACCTGTCAATGCATATATCTTTCAGAAAAATGACAGAGAGCATTTCTACATTTCTTTTAGACTCACCAATTCTAAGTACATTAGCATTGTGACCACTGTCAATGTAGTAACTTAGAATTTTTCATTTTGAAGCTTGCACTTACAGTTATTTAAATACTGATTATTTTAAATATTTCTCAATGTTTTGAGGACAGTTGACTTAGGATTTGTGTGATACTAATATTTTCTGTTGAGTGCACCTCTTTCTCATTGCTTCATAAAAGCATTTTACATATTAAAGCATTGAATTTTGTCATACACATTTGAACCACTGCTATCACATTGAAATATACACAGTAGATTTTCTTGTGTCTTTGTTCTAAGTTTTTATTTGTTGAAAAATGATGCTGAATTTCAACATATTCAAATGACTATTTTCCCTAATTAATATGTTAATAATGTACAATCATGTAAAATTACTTCTTAATATTGAAACAACCTTGTATTCTGAGAATAAACATTTTTCAGATGTCAATCTTATATTTAACTTCTGATCTATTAAGATTTTGCATCAACATTTCTAAGTTGAAAATTCATTATTTTCCTCTCTGTTACAGTTTTATCTGCCGAGTGATAGTTTCATAAACTTAAGAGATTTTTTTTTCTGTATGATATTGGCTAATACTATGGTTTGGCTATTGTTTGGATGTATCCCAGGGTGGCATTGCTGAGAAGCACTGTAACTGTTATAAGACCGGAGGCAGGGTGGTCTGGTCACATGCGACTAAGGCATTGCAGGCACCACCCTCAGAAGAGATTAGTGCCGGTGTCTTAGAGTGAGGTGGTCCTCATTAGAGTGGGTTGTTACGAAGCGGGGTCACTTCTTCTGCATGTGCCCTACTCTGTGTTCCAGCTTCCTCTGTATTTCCTGGACATGTAATAGTCAGCAACCCAGCACTCTCCAGCCACCAGAATTGTAAGCCAAATAAAAGTTTCAGCCTTGGGCACTTGGTTATAGCCAAAGGAAATGGAGTAATATATAAATGCAAAAGGCCCTCAGACCTTAGTAGGCCCCTAGACCTTAGCACAAAAGATGCTGTCCATGATGGAAGTACCATTCAGGCTGTATAACTCAGCACGTAGACAGCACCACCTGCCCAAACTAAAACAAAGACCAGATCCATCAAAGTGCATAGTTCTGGGAAAGTCTCTAAATGTAATAACCTTTCTTTTTGTCTTCTGTAGTTCTGCTTCTGGCTAACTGTTCTTATTAACTGAAGTATGTCAACCCAGAATTTTTTGTTTGTTTTTGTTTGTTTGTTTGGTGTGTGGTTAAAAGCTCACCCTGAGAAAGGCTCAGGGTTACACTAGGATTCTGGATACCCAGTGTGGTTACTGGCTTATAAAAATTTTATATTGTTTTAAACCCATGTCTTAGTAGTCTTCTCTGGTGGATATCCCACAACAATAAGTATATTTTAAACTATTTGTTTACAGAGGTAACAAATCTAAGGGAAAGCAACAACAACAAAAAACTTCTCTTTAACCAGGGACAGATGAAGAAAACCCAAATCCCTTCTTGCTCTGTACCTCTAGTCCAAGCTGCTGTACTGAAAACTTTGCTATTGTTAGTCTTAGCTTTTTGTGGTGCTGGGCACTGCAGTTCTAACAAACATGCTCATTTGTCTCTTCTGAACTGATCAATTTAAGAAGGTATATAGTATCTCCTCATGATGGCTATTCATGTGGAATTAACTAAAATCCCCCAAATGAGGCACACCTGTGAGGGGTTTTTGCTGATTTGAAGAAGGAAGATCCACTTCTAATCTGGATCTTTGAGGTGTGAAGACAGGCCTTTAATACATATCTTTTGAGGGGGAAAGACCAGCCTCT